AGCCCCAGTAGATAGTTGTATGTCATAGCTGCACATCCTTCTAGTTGCTGTATGTGGGACGCGGCCTCAGCATGGCCGGAGAAGCAGTGCGTCGGTGCACGCCCGGGATCCGAACCCCGGCCGCCAGCAGCGGAGGGCGTGCACTTAACCGCTAAGCCACGGGGCCGGCCCAAACGTTTTATTTTTAAACCTGGGAAATAATGGAAGCTCTGCTTTTTTTAAATATACAGATGAATTTGAAACAAGTGATAGAAGGAAGAGAGGGAGAGCATTTTACTCAATGTGGTATGGATTTTCTCCTTCATCATGGCATCCTCAAAGGTTAGGAAGTTCATAGCTTCTCTTCAAAACCCTTTATAGGTCTTGTAACAATCAATTACTTAAAAGGCAGTAGAAAACCATCTGTCTTAGTATTTGGAGATCTCTTATAGGGCAGGAAAAAGTTAAGAATTTTATTAATAAACCAGAATCTTCACTTAATTGCTTCAACTGAAAAATCAATGAAAAAGTGATTTTAGGTGGTAATATTGTATGGGTTTTTTGTTTTGTTTTTAACTATGTTTATATTTTCAAACTCTGTTTCTGGTTGGAGAGAAAATGCTTGGTGAGAGGCACATACATTCTCCCTGGCACCTGAAGGCTGGAGGCAGATGCTGGAGATAGATGGTTCTGTGTGCTGTAGCAGGATGTGGGTGGATGTTACCCAGCGGTTCTGATCTGCAGGCCTCTGGTGATTAAGGACAAATGCCTGAGTTGAACATGCAGATAAGGATGGTGGGTTCAGACTGTCCGAGCTAGGTGAGGAGGTCTGGACATGTGATCTTGTAGAGAAGGGGCTGTGCTCCTGGTGTGTAGCCCTCAAGCCCACCATAGGTCTCATGTCCCCAGCCTACCTTAGGCCCATGTCACTAGCTGTGGATTCTCTCCGTGGCTGCCATCTCCATGAAATGCTTATCTTCCCCACAGGCCAAGGAAAAAGTGGGCCCCAGCGCTTTATCAAATGACTTTGAACTCTGAGTGGACAGAGCTGGCCACCCTGCAGGCACTCTTACCCCACCCTTTGCCTGGACAGGGACTCTGTTCTCCCCCGAACCACAGGGCCTGCCACCACATCGAGGCCAATATAGGGGTGGCTCGTTGAGCAGGTAGCTGGGGTCCTCTCAGGCAGGTGGCTGTCTCCAGGAACCGATGGCAGGGTAGCTGCTCCCACCCACCTTCTCCAAAACCTGCCTAGGTCTCTCAGAGGTTTAGCTGCCAAAATGCAGCCCCATGTTCCAGCCAGCAGAGCCTGAGTTGAAGTGAATAAAATTACCCTTTCCTCCTCAGGAAGGGGTTGCATTTTGTAAAACTCAGGTCTTGAGTTAGTGGCCTTAAAAATCCCACTCTGTGCCCGTCTTTCTAAGTGCTCTTTTGAGAATTACAGAATCTAATTTCATTGGCAAATGCTTTAAAAGGGCTGCATTCATACCTCCACCCTTCCTTCTAGCTGCCAGACTGGCCTTTTTCCGGTCAGGAGTGTAAAGTTTTCTGTAGAATTCTTTCAAAGGCAGTCCCACCACAGGCCACTGACGGGCATTCTCAGAATGTCAGCGTTGACATCTGGGAGTCTGCCCTCATCACCAGGCACCACTTCTCCAATACAGCCACCCCATCGTCTCCAAATGACTTGGCTCCAATTCTGGGGCAATTTCCTAGAGATATGTGCTATCCTTTGATTCTCAGAAATCCAGAGTGTACCAAATATCCCTTTATTTTCTCTCTCCAAACCCAATTCCTTAATTCCTGCCTCTGAGTGTCCCTCTGGATTGGCTGAAGGAGTCTCTGCGCACGTGTTCAAGTGCCTCCCCTTCCCCCCACCAGGTCGTGCCGTGATTCCAGGGGACAGGCAGACCCAAGACATCAGTGTGGGGGGCTCTCCAGTTGTTGGCACGTGGCATGTGTCCACACAGGGAGGTGTCCATATCCCTGTCTGCCTGCCCTCTTGAGGCCCTCCCACAGCACACCATTCCTCCGTGAGGACTTCTGCCCTCCTGGGCTCTGCCCACAAGGTGCCAGACCTGAAGCTCCAGGGCCACAGACCTTGCTGCTCCTGCAGACCTCAAGGATAACTTTTTTGTATCCTGGGGGTTCCCTCTTTCTCCCTCTTCTTCCTCCAGGCCAGTCAGCTTCTTCACCCAGCTCCCTGTCCCAGTTTCCTCCTCTCCTCACACCTGCTAAATTCTCTCAAGAGTGTAGGGCTTTTGTCACATGGGAAATGTCGGCAGCTAGCTACCTCCAGACAGCTACCTCCCTTGAGGCAGTGAAACTCAGAATTAGCTGGCTGCCGCCTAAGTGGGGAGAAGAGGAAGCGGGAAGAGAGGAAAATGTGAGTTAATTTTATGAAAATATTATGTAGTCATAATGTCATGTCCAAATCACTGGTACTTACTGTGTCCTGCCTTGTCCCAGGAACTGTGCCAGGCACCAGGAATGCAGACATGAATGACACTGCTGGGTCCTTCAAGGATCGTAGTCTGGAGGAGGAGATAGACACATTAGCTGAGACTATAGAGTAGTGTGAAAAGCAGGGAGATAGAACATGGCGTCACGTAAAAGAGAGGCTCTTAATTGAGGTTGCTGGGAGATGGGGAGACTTACTTGAATGCACGGTACATGAAGGCAGGGATTTTCTTTCCTGTTTTGCTCGTTGTTACAGACCCACTTCCTAGAACAGTGCCTAGCGTTTAGGAGGCTCTCGACAAATGTTTGCTGAGTGGATGGAGGAGGAGGTGAGGACGTGGTGGGGGTCATAGAGATTGTGAAGCAGGAGGTACTGTGAGAGACTTGGGAAAGTATTAATGTTTTTGTCAAAGTTCCAGCAGAAAAGACATGGTATAGTTACATTGGGTAATTGGAGAAACATTTAGTGAGGTGGTTATTTACAAAGGCTGGTAATGGTGGGGTGTAAAGGCTAGTAATGGTGGGGTGTGACTACCCCTAGGCCAAAAACAGCAAAGGAGAGAGCAATTACTGGGGAAGGAGAGAGGCTGTATAGAGAGGGCCACATTGAGAGGAGCTGTGACCTTTGGTTAAGGGACAATAGCAGGCCAAGGTGACTGTGCACGGAGGGACCCAGAAGACTAAGTAACCCAACCTTACTCTCTTCCCTTCCTTCAGACTCCTATGGGGACTCCTATTGGTGAACCCCATTGGAAGCTGGAGGGCAAGAGAGTCCAGGTCTTGATGGGCCCTGGAGGTCACTGAACCCTTAACTGGAGACATTGTGTAGGAACACAAAGTTACTTCAAGGACTGAACAGACATTCTTGTTTTGCAAAAATCACTGCTCATCATCCGTTGAGTAATTCTTTAAAAAAAAAAATTTTTTTTTTTAATTGTATTGAGGTCACGTTAGTTTATAACAGTATATAAATTTCAGGTGTAGATTATTATATTTCAACTTCTATATAGACTGCATCATGTTCACCACCAAAAGTCTAGTTGCCATCCATCACCATACATGCCTTTACCCCTTTTGCCCTTTCTCCATCCGTTGAGTAACTCTTATCTTTCTTCTTTGTACTTCAGGCAAATAATCTTCCAAAAGCCATTGCGGCTGCTCACACCTTTCTACTGAAGCATCCTGATGACGAAATGATGAAGAGAAACATGGCATATTACAAGAGCTTGCCTGATGCCGAGGACTACATTAAGGACTTGGAAACCAAGTCATACGAGGTATATTTGGGTTGTTACACAGCAGTTAGCCGCAATGTGAATTGTTGAAGAAGGATGTCTCAATGAACAGCTATTGACGTCTAAGAACCTCTAGTAATTTTTTATGACATTGATGAATATTATGACAATAGAAATGATTGATCTTTTAGCACAAAGTTGACCCATTTAAGAATGAGATTTTACATTTCATGATGCTTTTAAAGCCACTTTTCCTTTAAATCCTCTATTTTAGAAATATGATCGGTTGATCGTTCAGCTTTAAGATTGTGGAATAAAGATGTGTCTTGGAAATCATCCAAAAATGACCAAGAACACAAGGAACAGAAACATAAGTCTCCATTTCTGATGAAACTAGGAGACATACATTTTTATACACACACACACACCCCCCCAGTACATGTTAAGGTGGAAAGGGAATAGAGGAGCTAGGAGGACTGGCTTTACAGATTAGAGGCTACTTAAATCTATGCTTCACAAAGGGGAGTTCTGATGAGAATTAATGATGACGATAAGAGGAAGAATCTACCCCCTTTGAGACTTACTATTGTCTGGGCCTGGCCACTGGGGCCATGGGTACCAAGGAGGTAGGGCAGGGTGGGAACAGAGGGATGTATTGAAAGTATCCATAGGGAGCTGTTAGACGCAAAGGTCTGACTACAGGGTTTCCTGTAGTGTGACCAGACTGTGAGCTCACTTTTTCACTGGTGGTGCCCCTCGAATACAGTGTGCAAAGTCTCTTTTCTGGCGGCCCTTCAGTTTTCCAGGGAAGAATTCTCCAGACTTCTGCAGGACTGGTGGGGTGTCCGTGCTTGTCTGCTGGTGTCTGAGAGCCAGTCTGGGGAGAAGGATGGGGGCCTCACAGCTGAGTCAGAGACCTTACCTGCTTCCTGGTTTTCAGCCCCATGCCTGAACTCCCGCTCTGCTCTGCCAGTTCCCTGACCCTCAACCTTTATGGATAGAGTCTCTAGAATAAATCACCAGTCTCTGATGAGGAGTGGCTTTGGTAGGTATGATCCCTTGAGGGGACAGGTGGGTGCTGGGAGGGAACCTAGGGCTCCAGCAGTCCTGTTCAGGCTTTCAGCCCTGCTTTCCATTCTGTGCCTTGCGCCAGCCTTCCGTGGTCCCTAGTTCCTGCAAGTGCCAATCGGGTGGGTGGCTCATTTCCCTTCTGGACCCTCCTCTGTGATAATTTGGCTTTCTGTCTTTCCAGAAGTTGTTGAATTCTCTTGTCTGCTGCTTGCTTCTTTCCCATTCACCTGTAGAAAGGATTTAGGCCTTTTTACTTTCCTCACTGTCGTTTTCATGGGGTTTGGGGAGCAGAGCTGAGTGCACGTGGTCAGTGCCCTGTGCTTTACTGCCAGTCAGCAAGGCCCTTCTTTCCCTCTTTGGAGTCTCACTGGGTGTGGCGGGACTGCCCTCCTGTGTGCCCACGGGGCTCTCTCTCTCTGTGTGGCTTTCCTCTTGCTGCTGCTGCCCTGCCGCCTCTGCAGAGTCAGCTGCCTATAGTTGCCTCTCATTTCCCCAGTCTCCAGCCAAGGCCCCTTCAGTTCTCTGCCTGTCTTATTTCCAGGGGATGCTGCCTGCCCAGGAGGTTTAGGGAGATCCACCCTCTCTACTTGACACCTTAAGCTTGGTGAAAATTCCAGGTTCAGAGGGTGGCCCTCAGATACCCCCATTCTGGAGCAGCTGAAAGGGAACTCCAATTGGGGAGTCCCATGCTTATTTCAAGGCCTGTCCTGGCCCCTCCACGTTAGCAGGGTTTTGCGTGTATCCAAGATCTCTCTTATTTCTCATGAGACCAAGCTGCTTCCTCAGCCCTAGTTATTTCTCCTTTATCTGGTCCAGTCAACAATTAGCAGAAATTCCTTGAAGTTTCCACTGTCTGGCGCATGGCCACCCTCCCCAGTAACTAGTGGGGATGCATGGCACTCTCATTTTATGCTTCACTGTTAGCGGGGAGCTGTCTGACACTTGCTCTCAAGCTTGTATCTTTTCCTTGATTCAAGTTTAAAATCAGCTTTATTGTGGTATACTTTATTTAAAATTTATTTACCAATTTTAAGTGTATAATTTGATGAGTTTTGACAAATGTACGCAGTTGTGTCATTACCACAAAATCATGATATAGGATATTCTCATCTCCTCTCAGATGTTCCCTCATGCCCCTTTGTAGTCAAGTCTTTGTCCCAACCCCTGACCCTTGGCAGCCACTGCTCTGATTTCTGTCACTATGGTTTTCCCTTTTTCCTTGATTTGAATTTGATTTTATTATGAAGCACCTGCTACTTTTTGAATTAAATGAAATGAGAAGTGTACCATTGTACACAGGGTAGAAAACCTAGATATAAGTAAGTCACTGATTGGCTTCATATTTAATTAATTTTAATTTAAATAAAAATCAGCATGGTTTCTTCAGAACTAATGAGAGTGGAGCTCTGTGATGGTCTGATTCCTTTTGGGAGGACAAGTTCATCTCCCTTTGTGTCCAGAGCTTCACTGGCTTCTCCTTGCTTTCCAGAGCCTGTTCATCCGAGCTGTTCGGGCGTACAATGGCGAGAACTGGAGAACGTCCATCACAGACATGGAGCTGGCCCTTCCCGACTTCTTCAAAGCCTTTTATGAGTGTCTTGCAGCCTGCGAGGGCTCCAGGGAGATCAGGGACTTCAAGGATTTCTATCTTTCCATAGCAGGTTGGTGGTGGGTTGTATCCTAGACATAAATGGCATAGCTGCCCTTGTGGAATCTGCATGCCTTCTTGGTGACTTGAGTGGCCTCTGAAGAACTTTTGAGCTTAAATATTATTGGGTAACTGGGGTGGCCAGCACCTACATAGATCAGCCCTTGACTTGGCAGGGGTGTCTGGAGACATATTTGAGTACAATGTTCAAGCACAGGCCTGGAGAGGAGGTCCACCGTATCAACCCTGCCTGATTACAGATTCCCCACAGGATTTTGGAAAAATAAAAATGGGCCCAAGAGCAACTCATGACTCGCATTACAGAGGTAACTTTGGTTAGGGAAATTTTCCAACACACATAAAGGTAGAGTGAAGAGTATAATGAACTTTAAGTAGTTGTCACTAAGGTAACTTTTGGAAAATTTTTTTTCTGCATGCATTCATAAAATGCATGTTTATTATAGGAAGTTTAGAAAACACAGGAAGGGCCGGCCCTGTGGCTTGGTGGTTAAGTGCGCGAGCTGCGATGCTGGCGGCCCGGGTTCGGATCCCGGGTGCGCATCGAGGCACCACTTCTCCATTCATCCTGGGGCCGGGTCCCACATACAGCAACTAGAAGGATGTGCAGCTATGACATACAACTATCTACTGGGGCTTTGGGGGGAAAAAATAAAATAAATAAAATCTTTAAAAAAAAAAAAAAAAAAGAAAACACAGGAAGGAATGAAGAAAGTAAGAAAATTTAAAACACCACCCATAGACAGCCCATATTTCCCTAGGATCTCTCTTTAACCTTTAGTGGGCAGTGTCACTCCAGAAAATGGGCAGTAGCCAACAGATTTCCCAAAGTGGTTTGGGAACATCGATCCTAGAACTGCACCTCACAGAAAGGGTACCCTGGTCTAATAAGTCTGAGAATGGGCTGAGTGCTGTCTGCCTCTTTAAGTGCTGTGCACTTTAATGGTTACAGGGTCATAGAAATTCTGCTGAATGACAGCTCTTTTAAGTTATTGAATCCAGGGTTTTTTACCATTTTTTGTTCATGAATCTCTTTTTTCACAGAGTACCTTATTATTTTCTTAACAAAACCTTTTTATTGTAGAAAATTTCAAACATATACAAAAAATAGAGAGAAGAGTATAACAAACCGCCATGTACCCATGACCAATTTTCACAATTGTCAACTCAAAGCCACTTGGGCTTCATCTAATTCCCACCTACTTTCCTGCTCTCATGTTTTTTTTTTTTTTTT